ACATGATCTATGTTTTGTCCATGTTCATCTTAAGACCTATCCGTTGGGAGGCACTATTGAGGTCATTGAGCATAGTGCTTAAGTCCTCCAGCGATTCTGCCATAAGGACTATATCGTCGGCAAATCGAAGGTGAGTGATGTACTCGCCATTGATGTTAATACCGTATCCTTTCCAGTCCAGTAGCTTGAAAACGTCTTCCAATGCAGCGGTGAAGAGTTTCGGGGATATAACGTCACCCTGTCTTACACCTCTCTGCAGTTGGATAGGTTTCGAGCTCTGATTCTGTACTCGAATAGCCATCGTAGCTCTACTGTGCAAACACTTCAGCACTTCGATATACCGACAGTTAAGTTGGCACCGCTGAAGGGACTGTAGTACTGCCCAAATTTCGACGGAATCAAAGGCTTTCTCATAGTCCACATACGCCAGACAAAGTGGTAGATTGTACTCTTCAGTCTTCTGTACAATCTGCCTTAGGGTATGTATGTGGTCTATGGTACTGAAGCCTTTTCGGAAACCGGCTTGTTCGAGAGGCTGGAAGTCGTCGAGTCTGCGTGCGAGACGATTCGTAATGACTCTCGAAAACAGCACGTAGACGCGGCTCAGAAGAGAAATCGGTCTGTAGTTCTTCTAGAGAGCGTTGTCGCCTTTCTTAAAGAACAAGACCACCGCACTTCTGCTCCATGCCTCTGGAGTAGTGCCACCATGGAGGATGGAATTGAAGAGCTTCTGAAGGACTTCAAGTACCGGTGTTCCACCCGCTTTCAGAAGCTCCGCTGTAATTCCATCCTCGCCTGGGACCCTGCCGTTTTTAAGGTGCTGGAGAGCCATTCTAATCTCGCTTAGACTGACGTCCGGGATATCATTGGAATAGTATCGGATAAGACTTGCTCTTGGGTCGTTACTCACACTTGCGTGTGGCTCCAACGATGATGTGTACAGCTGCCCATAGAACCTCTCAATCTCGCTCAAAATCTCAGGTGTCCCGGAAACGATGCTGCCACACTCAGTCTTCAGCTTTGACAGTTGGCTCTTACTGTCAGACAGATCTCTGGCAAAGACTTTGGAGCTCTGGTTCCGCTCGATCGCTTCTTTAATACGAACAGTATTAAAGTTGCGTAAGTCTCGCCGCATGCATTTGGAGATCTGTCTGTTCAGTTGCCTGTATGCTGTCAAATCTGTTGACGATTGCAGCTTCATCTCCCGTCTAACAGCCATGAGATTAAGAGTGTGATCAGAGAGTTTTTGTGTTCTTCTGCGGCGGGTCTTGCAGAACTTAGCTCCGACCGCATGGACAGTCTCCACGAGTTTGTCATTCATATCGTCCACTGCATTGCAATCTTGTAGGCACTGAATGCGGTTACGTAACTCGAGCTGAAAGTTTTCGGGATTCTGGCACGAGGGGGACGGAGGGTTGACTTCATTAGACGAGACCTCTCCAACTTAACGTTTTGGTTCAGTGTGCCTCTAACCATTCGGTGATCGCTGCCAGTTTTCACCCTTGCGATAACTGAGACATCACTGAACAGTTGGCGTCTGGTCGTCATAATTAAGTCAATCTCATTTTTTGTCGAACCGTCGGGGCTCGACCAGGTCCACTTCCTGTGGGGCCGCTTCTGGAAGAAAGAGTTCATCGTAAAGAGTCCCTCTTTCTCCATAAAGTCGGTCGGCTGCTGGCCCCTTCGGTTCCGTTGCCCTATTCCAAATTTCCCTAACTTCAGCTCACCGTTTTCTCTTGTGCCTAGTTTTGCGTTGAAGTCTCCCATCAACACCGTGTAGTGGGTTTTGGAGGAATGCATGGCTTTGGAAATATCCTCATACATTTCCTCCACCTCCTCATCGGGATGTGCCGAGGTTGGTGTGTAAACCTGTATGACCTTCAGCGAATACCGTTTGGTGATTCTGAGTATCAGGTACGCGACCCTCGTCGACATACTCCCAATCTTTACAACGTTGTTGACGAGAGACTTGTGGACGATAAATCCGACACCTCCTTGGGACAGATGGTTGCCCTCTCGGTGATAGAACAAGTTGCCGGATTCGAGAATCACCGTGTCCTCCCCCTCTCTTCGGACCTCGGATAATTCTATAATATTCCAGCGCAACTTGTCTATCTCTTCTACCAGTTCCAGGATCTTCTCGTCAGTCCTCAGGGTGCGTGCGTTAAATGTTGCCAGGTCGAGTCGTCGTAGGTGGCAACCGAACCTTCACCGGAGATTCTTAGCACCCTCTGCCCCACCGTACCACGGATCCAGGAATAGCGGGGCCGCCGGGGACTGGGGCCCGTCTATTTGTGTAATTGTTCATGGGGGGTATATTGCCATAGTTGCGGGTTGGCAACCGCAATTTTTTTTGTCGTACAGTTGCTGTTATCAGGAAGATGCTGCTGCCCATCTCCTGCCTGTTTCCCTCTGTCGCCTTTTACGACACCCACGGGAAGATATGGGGTAATGGATATTCTTAACCGCCACTACACGGCTATTGCCCTAATATGTGCTACAAAATGCTACCTCACAACTTTGGACACAATGGAAAGGCGTGCTAAGAGGCATCCTGGTGACAGTCTCGATCACAGTCGCAAAGTAGCCAGCGCTTGGGTTTTCTACACGAAATATTGCGCAGACCGTGCGCGAAAATTGCATATTTTGATTTCTCCCTCTCTCTTACGTCACAGGACAACCAGACGCTCGGCCTGTCTCCACGCTTACGTTGTCAAATTACCATGCATTCAAAGCAAACTGTTTGCTTCATCGTTCGTCAAGCATTCAGTAAAGGAGTAGTATAAGTTGCCGACAACCCATATGCCTGTTGGACGAGCAGGATAGTTGCCACTTGGCTCAATAGGAATTTGTCGCGCCTTGGTCCCAATTTGTATGATAGCCAGTTTGGGTTTCGACGAGAACGTTTCACTGTAGATGTGATTATGCGCATCACGACCTCTCTGAACAAGCAGTGTCCCTAGGTGGCGTAGCGTTGGATATAAGTCTTGATATTGTCAACGACTTTAACTTTCTACCTTGAGACGCAATGAGGATGGCACCTGTACATCATCTGGTGATGATATTACCGGGGACCACTTGCGCGACCGGAACTTTCTGACATGGGGCAAGATGAAAGAACGATCCGAAGGGAGGCTCGGTGCTGGGCTGCCACTATGGAACCTCGCCTAAGATGCGGTTCTGCGAATCGATCTTCCGCTGGCGTAGGTATCGTCCGCTATGCTGACTACACATTGTTGATCGCATTTTTTGCGAGGTTTTTTGCTAGCTTCTAGCTCACTTCCACTGCTCTGACGGATGTCACGGATCCGATCGTATAATATGTCCAGATGTGAAAAGCGAGTCAGGATTGTCACCATCTCAAAGGACATAGTGCTGTGGCGGCGCTGTCGTCGCGCCGCAAGCGAAACACAACGAAGAATAAATCACGCTATTAGTATATATAGAACATCTCCGAACTAACACACGGAGTGTTGGCCGCTCCTCGGGCAGGACACCTTACCCGGCGGGAGATCTCCCCTTTTCCTTCTACGGCCACAGTGGTGACCACTCGACGTGATCTGAACACGCAACTAACTAACTTCGGAAAACTTCAAGCTTCATCATCGTCATAGAGTACCCCACCTATTCGCTCCCGAGCAGATGTCGTCTTCAGTCTTCATATCCTGCAAGCCATCTAGCTAAACAAGGTTCATCGCAGCACCGGAATAATAATGCTTCCTGTTCCTTCAAACTACTCTCTGCGCTATACAGTGTTCGGCACGGCTCTGAGCCTTACTGCACGCCTCTGCTTCACGGCACTCTCTCTCGCCGTAGGAGCATCCTACACTTTCACTCTCATGTCCTTCGACCCGAACACGTTGTGATCTTTCGATTGGATAATCTGCGAACCAGTCACGAGCTATTCCTCTGATCCCCACATTCTCTAATTTAGTCAATAAGATAGGGATATAAACTATATCGGAAACCTGGAGATCTAAAAGACACCCATGCACTTATTTCCACCATCAAGATATGTAGAGATTTTTATAGTTAGCAGTAGACCTGCGTCTTCGGTTGATTTACCTTCTCTAAATCCAAATTTATTTTCACACCATAGACAGAATCGAAAGAATAGAGATAGGTCTATTATATATTTGTAAGATTATGGGCGTCGCCTACTTTATAAATAGGACACACAATAGCTTTTTTGAAAGCTGCGGGATTAATCTAAATAATATATAAGAATGAGGGTGACAAAAAGAACACAGGTCGCCTTTTTTTTTTTTATAGGATAGGGTGACAAACGAGCACACAGTCCACCTGATGGTAAGTGGTTGCTGTGGCCCATAGACATCTACATCTATCCTCGATTACGAATCAAAATGCAGATGCGTTGTCACCCGTGAGGACTAAGATGGAATGCCTCGTTTCCAGTAAAAAGGGTCTCCGGTTCTCTACACTCACCATACGAAATACAGCAGCATTAAGCTACTATTTCACGCTGGTATTCTGTGAGAGCGTGGTCCTTCCCCGGTCGAGCCGACCCATTCATGCTACAACTATACTACTAATATAACTGCAGCATGGCTCTACCACGTATAATCGCCTGATGGTAGGTGGATATTGTAGCACTTAAAAATCTACCCATAATTAAGAATCAAAATGTAGATGCGTTGTTACCCTAAAAATTAAGATGGAATGCCAAATTTTCATTAAAAAGGGTCTCCGGTTCTGTACAATCACCATACGAAACGCACCACCATCAAGCTACGAATTTACGCCTATATTCTATAAGAGCGTGGTCCTACACCGACTATAGAATAGCACCCAGAAGATAGAATGTCTCGTTACCAGTAAAAAGGTTCCCTACACTAATCATATGAGCGGCAGCATTAAACTACTATTTCACGTTGAGGTGAGAAGTGAGAGTGTGTCCCACATCGGTCTACTCATGATATTATAGCTGAAGAGTAGCTGTACCTTGTAAAATCACTAATTGTGTGTGTGTTGCTGTACAGATGTGCGAGGGCGGTGGTGTCGGCGGCTGCGCTGCTAGTGATGGTAGTGGTGTGGAGGGTGGTGTTGGGGGGCGCGCAGATGCGTTCAGCGCGGCGGCTCGGTCGGTGCGGGCGCTCGGAGCGCGTCACCACGAGCTGCTAGCGTGGCCGCGCGCGCACTGGCCTCGCCTCGCGCTGCCAGCACTTTTCGCCGAGGTCTTCGACATACCGAAGGTGGACGACGACGTTGACACCGCGCCGCAATCACCGGGCGAATAGAACTCATTTAACTAATATGAACTACGTACTAGAAGACACGAAGACTTGGTGCAGGCAATACGCCTTAAAGCCCAATTTCTTATATTTTCGTGAACATTTTTACAGATTTTATCGCGTATATTATCTTATTTTACATTTCTGAAGTTTCAAGTTTTTTACAGCATCCATAGTCACGGTGGGGAGGGCAGGACTGGGTTTCAAACGTCCCAAAGTTAAAGTTAACATTATATACGTGATAGAGCCATGCTGCAATTATATTAGTAGTATAGTTGTAGCACGTATGGGTCGGCTCGACCTGGGAAGGCCCACGCTCTCACAGAATACCAGCGTGAAGTAGTAGCTCAACGCTGCTGTGTTCCGTATGGTGAATGTAGAGACCGGAGATCCTTTTTACTGGAAACGAGCTATTCCATCTTAGTCCTCACGGGTGACAACGCATCTGCATTTCGATTCGTAATCGAGGATAGATGTAGGTGTCTATGGGCCGTAGTAACTACTTACCATCAGGTGGATTGTGTGCTCATTTTCACCCTATCCTATAAAAAAAATATAAATAATTTTAATCTGTAAAACTACCTTCGGCGAAACTAAACTTCGGCTCATTTTAGCTGAAGCTGAAGATTCCTTCTCTACACTTCATAGTTCCTAGCAAGCGACAAAATTGAAAGAACAAATGAGCGAGAGTGCGATAGACTGGTGACGCGCAGTCACACTGCGTTGGGTTGTACTATACTCGTATTATTATAGCATCGTTTAATTTTAGCCAATTTTGGACTGAATTTCTTTGAATATTTAAGCCTTCGGCTTCGATTTTAGCCAGAGATCGTTCAGTTGGACACTAAGTCTACACCGTAAAGGTACCGTACACTCAGCCTGCAACCACTTCTCCCACACGGTTGCACAGATTTTGTTCGCGATATCTGTTCTAGTACATAGTGCATATTATTTCAATGTTCAAACTTCGATCTTCGAACCGATCGCACTGTGTCGAAATCTTTAAATATCAGTAGGTATCGGGATTTTAAATACAGAGTGGCTACAAGCCGTTAACTGCTGGTCAAATTATTTTTGACCCCATAGGACTTCAATTATTCCAAATATTTGTTCAATTGACAAAATATGAAAAATGAATTTAGACCAACATAATTGTTAAGCGTCACTTACTTTATTATAGTTGAATAGTTTTATTATATTTCAAAGTACTTTTTACATACAATTTGAAGTTAGTATTGTAAAATATGGCGATCAATCCCTCGTCACTTAGTTACACATACTGCACATTATACTTATAACAAAGTTGAAATACATATCTCAAATAAAATCCTTTATTGTGAACATAAAATGTAATGTATACAGTTTGTAGTATTTTAGAACAATTAACATTAACATTATTTCAGATAGCTGTGAAATTAATAGACTAAAATACTAATATAGTTGGAGCACGTACAAATGAAACCAAAAAAAATCAAATATGAGTGAAAATAGCAAAAACTTAGTACTCATAAATTTGCTGATGAGCTTTTATTACATTGCCTAGCTTCAATTAATGTTTCCACGTGCTCTGTATGTCTCATAGTTAGCTGCTCGATTCGAAGCCTTATTATAAGATAGAAAGTTGCAAGTAAAACGGATACAGGCGGCTGCTTCTAATGTTAATACTAAATTAAACTTTAGGCCCGCTAAAACAGCCGACACATGTATTTGTGTGGTATAAAATATTTGTACCTTCGAAGGTAGACCTTTCGAATTTCATCTACCCGCAATGTGAAAGTATATCACAGCCTGAAATTATACCGGATCTTCATACCAATAAATAAGACGGCATAAGAAAGAGTTTTACCACCTAGCAGTTTTGGTCAAGTTTTTTCGAATTAAAAGACTTGCAATTAATATGTACTTATAACATAGTTTAGTAACAACATTAGAGGCAACCGGCACAGAAACGGACTGTCAACTAAATCATTGTGCCAATTTTGCACATATAGTAAATGTTAAAATAGTATACTTCCATTTGCTACCGTTGTGCTTGCGCCCATTGTTTAAAAAATCTTAAATTCTTAGTGTTTCCATAAGTCGATTTATATATGTGATGTAAGTAGTTGTTAAATTCTTGCCGAGCACGACGACATAAAAGGCACGGAAAGTATGCATCGTGATTATTTTATATTTTATTGCAAAATCACATTAACCTTTTTATTAGGTAGGTGTTCACATTGTGGCAGCGCTGTCGTGACGCCACAAGCGAAACAACGAAGACTAATGTGTCTACGAAGACTAATCGCCTTGCCCGGTGGGGGATCTCCCCTCTATCTTTCTACGCCAAACTAGTCACTCCGAAGAAAACTGGTAAACTGATGACGAGAAAACTCAACTCAACAAATGCAATATTATGGGTTACCTGTTGAGTCGTAGGATGAAAATTGAGAGGGACCCCGTCGGGCAAAGCAATCAATGAGTGGATAACGCTCCCATATTATTTCAAAGCGGTTCTATTTATAGTACGGGAACTTCAAAACTTTGATAGCGCGATTTAGATTTCGGTTTGTTAGGCTTGTGGCGCGACGACAGCGCGGAAGTTTTTATTTTATGTTATCGTCATCTATAAAGCCTCAAGACTTTTGGAGAGAAACATATCATATTAATAAAAGGTTTCTCGGGCAGGAATGTAAGATAAAATATTTTACGTGCGCTCACTTTTTACTCAGTTTGTTACCTAATATCTTACATAATAATTACGATCATTTTTTTTTTCTTAACAATTATTGTCAGCTAAAATCTAGTCCTTTTCGGCTGCACGACTTCAGTCTACATTCAGTCCAAAAGTTTGAGAATTAATCAGTTTCGTCTTTGTACGTGATGTTGTTTTTACTAGTGATGAAGTGCTTAATCTCCATAACAGTGTTTACTGGCACTCACGCCAGCTGAAGAATTTTCACTAAAGGTTGCGTAATGACGTGTTCGAATGTAAAGACATAGGTACACTTTATCTTTAAAAAATTAAAATTTATAATCATTCATGACAAATATACGCAGTATGTACTCGTATAAAAAGTTTAAATCAGCAGTAACGGCTGCTTTATCCTAACACTTTGTACCCGACATAAGAATTTTGTTGTAGTGTACACACAGCACACAGCACATAGCACACGCAGCGTAACGTCATAGTGATATTTTCTCGTTAATAGGTGTACTCGTAGCTGCGTATACAATCCTGATATTAAGATATAATAACATAATATGTGATAGTTGTTAGTTGTGAGAGGAGAATGTTCGTACGGAGACTGAGGAAGTGGTTTGCGTTTGAGTGTTACCGTTTGCTCCCGCAGACATGTAAAGCTTGGCACTAACAATAGTTATAATAGTATTGATGTTAATAACAACCAGCTCTAGTATACATTCCGGCAATGCACAGCATTAGATATATACCTCGAGTGGCTGCCCATGTACAGGCACTACACTCCGTCGCTTTTATTGAACAATAAATACACAATCGCCTAACCGTTTCGATTTGTTGAAGGAGTGAATAGTAATCTTAAGACTTATTACAATGTAATGCATTTATTTGAATTATATTATAGTGTGATTTATTTGTTAAATTTTAATGTTAATTTTATACTCTTAGAATATTATAATTAGTAGAAAAAGTAAAAATATGCCGTTGCTAAAGGTGAGGTCTCCTTTCCGACTCCTACTGCATTTAACTACTTGTTTAAAAATCTTTTGCCACGAATACATAATAAAATGCACCAGCTGAACAAGCAAGCAGGCATAATGCGTTTAACTATATAATAGACCTTGATATGATTTTATGGTTTACAACAATGTCTGGGTGGTACGCAAATGATAAAAAACTGATGGTTTGGACATCCTGAATCCAATATGTCATATGTCATCGTATATCTATGTATGTTTGGTGTCAAGTTTATTATTAAAAAAACCCTTGAGAACTCACCTTGCACCATTTGATTAAATAAATTTGTAAATGCCAGAACCGTCCACTAAACCTGCTTTTTATTTTCCTGAGAAGCAGTGTTTTGTTATCTTAAATATATTTACCTCGATTAAGCTACTGATATATCAAATTGTAATCGTGGATCAGTAACCTTACGTAGCAGTTGCTACAAAAATAATCTTTGTAATAAATATTGTTTTATTTACACAGTATTTAGAATAGCACGTACCTAACATTGCCTCGTTGGTGAAGCGGTTCTAGTAGAGCGACTGTTTATCACGAGGTCCTGTGTTCGAATCCCGGGTCGAGCCAAAAAATAACAATTATTGAGTTTTTCCGTCAAGAAATTCTCAGTAGCTGACAGGAGTCAGAAAGTTGGCGGTGTCTCACCCCCGAGCTTCGGAAAGCACGTAAAGTCGTCGGTCCTGCGCCTGCTCTCTCTCCAGTCGTATCGGTTTACCGTTTTATCGGATTATGAGTGAAGGAATTGCACCTGTGCTTGTGCATACACTTGGAAACTATAATCCTGCCTTGGCCGATGGCTAATCTCCGTTGAGGCAAACCGCCGTGGCCGAAAATCGGTCTGAAGGACTTTATTATTAATAATAAGTAGTCTATACTCAATGTTGAATTCAGCTGCTGATACTGAGATTTTGTACACAGGTTTAGATACTAAGTACGCCATCTACTCCATTTGCGATGGATGGTGAAGTGCACAGCGGTTTCGTCTCAGTTTGTAATCTGCGCTATAAATCACCTCGTGACGTTCATTTGCAATATTCTCGTGTGTAGTGTATAATATGTGCCTTTTCCTCAGAGTTATTAAGCGGTCAGAGTTATGCACGGTCAGTCCACTATTATGTACGTTAAACGTACTCATTATCGTTTTGCGTCTTGCATCGTGTATGACTTAGGCGGGACTTACACCAAGGAGGATAATGAATAAGGCGCTTTACTATAGCATGGAGAGAATCTTGAAATAAGAACAAAATTTTTATAGCTGAATTCTTTATACACATGAAGTTTAACATGGTATAAAATAATATAG